TTTAAAATAAACTATTGTATCTAAAATTAATGTACTCTATATAATTTGATTCAGTAGTTGTGTAGTATGTATCTTGTAGTATGTATAATATTATTTAATTATTAAAATATTTTCTTAATTTCTGGGTAATTAAGCCATTTTTGGCTAGAAACATGTGAAACTCAACAAATTATTTTGAAAAAAAATAAAAATAGAAAAATAAATTTATATGTAAAACTACCTATAAGGTTATCTCAAATGACTTTAATAGCCACACTGACAAAGTTAATTTTCCTCATCAATAAATTGTTGGTGATAATGAGTACATCTAAATAAATTTTAGTTGATTGCTAGCACTATTTTGGCCCAATCTAAGACCATTTTTGGTTAACATGGTTTCTCACTTTTGCATATGCACACTGAGATCCTAATTTCGTGAGGGACCACTCAATTCCATTGAAATGATAGTGACGAAAGGAGAAAGTGAGAGTGCAACAATCTCTAACGGTCATACCAAGGTTCAAAAGGCGTTACAAACAAAACGAATTCGTCTTATGATGTCAAAAACCGTAGAATAACGGCATTTCATCTGGAAATGACCAAATTAAGTAAAGAGGGTGTCGGCCTTAAAACCAAATTAAGGCACAACTCCAAAAGCACATCAAAAGATATGATTTTGGTGTCGGTTATTTTAATGATGACCTCGAAAACTATTTTACATTTAATTATTAAATTTAAAACTCATAAATAGTACACATCGAGTAGTTCTATAAACACATGAATATATTGAGAATAGACGATCTAGATGTATTATTTATGGTACTTCTATTTTTTTTTTTTTTATTCCGTACATCTTAATGTCGAGATGATTAATTAGATGGTTTCTTCACCATCAATACAACCTTTTACGAAGGATCTTGAGGTGTCTTTTTCTACAGTTTTAAGTTACAACTTTATTTAAACTTTTTCCCTAAAGTAAAAGCTCGTGAAATGGGAAACCGTAAAACAAAAAATTAGAAAATCGAAAGAAAACATGGTAAAATATATGAAAAAAGTATTTTTTGGCATTTTTCAAGAAAGAAATTTTGTCAACTATAGTGACTGTTATTCCGATACTCCGAAAATGACAATAAAATTCCATTGTTTTCTATTTTTACCCTCTTATTTATTGATAAAATTGAGCACCGAGACCACAGTACGGACATGAATCCATCTTATAATACACATTTTATGGAAAGTAATGCAATTTTTTACTAGCCATTTCCACTTTCCCTAAACACTCTTATACAATAACCATTTTTAGAATATATTTTTTTGAAATTTTGAAATATCAAGAGCAATAAATAATAAGAAATTTTAATTTTTTACTATGTAACGATTACATACACCGGCATGCATGCAAAACCCTACACGAGAATGCATCTCACTCAACCGAGCCACCAGATTCAAAATAATCTCAACATGCACCATAAAATTGTATAAAATAAGACCAATTAGATTCAATATTTTATTGTCACAAATTATTATTGATCATTGGACGTTAAATCGATTAGTTGGGAATATGTTGTTAATTAGGTACAAAGCCCAAAAATCAGATTTTTCAAATATTGTGACACACTTCAATCTTAGATTTCACTTTCAATGGCTGAAAATGATTATGGCATCTTTGTACTTAGGTGGCGTTTGGGTACTTGAAAATCTATTACATAACAATCGTTTACAAAAAAATAAGATATTTCCACTGTTTGGTTACACTTTAGCGCCCAAAAATTATGAAACAGGTGAAATGTGACAAAAGGGTCATTTAGGTACCTGGAAATCTATTACATGATAATCAATTACGAAGAAATATGATATTTCCACAGTAAAGAAATGGAAAGGGATTACTCGAGATTCCCCAAAAATCATGAAACACACGAAATGTGACACACTTCAATCTTAGATTTCATCTTTGTATTTAGGTGGCATTTGGGTACCTGGAAATCTATTACATGACAATCGATTACGAAGAAATATGACATTTCCATCGTTTGGGTACATTTTATTGCCCAAAAATCATGAAACAGGTGCAATGTGACAAAATGGTCGTTTGGGTACTTGGAAATCTACTACAAGACAATCGATTAAGAAGAAATATGATATTTTCACAATAAAGAAATGGAAAGGGATTAATCGAGATTTCCCCAAAAATCATAAAACATATAAAATGTGACAAATGGGCCATTTGGTTACCTAGAAATATATTACATGACAATCGATTACGAGGTAAAATGTGAAAAATCTATTACGCGCTTGACAGGTAATCTTTAGAAATCTTTCACCGGTATCTCTCTGCCCTATTCCAACTTAATAAAATGCCAATCCGCCTACTCGGTTTGCATAGGTATCCCTCTCTTAAACCCTAATAACTGGTTTGCATCTTTACTCTATTCCAGCTTAATAAAATGCCAATCCGCCTACTCGGTTTGCATAAGTATCCCTCTTTTAAACCCTAATAACTGGTTTGCATCCCTCTCTCTATCTCTAAGCTCGTCCCCTCTCTCTTGAACCCTAATTACAGATTTGCATAACGTTCTCTCTCTCTTTAAGCCCCTTCTTCTCATCTCGTCCCCTCTCTCTTGAACCCTAATAGCCCATAGCCCCTTCTTCTCATCTCGTCCCCTCTCTCTTGAACCCTAATAGCCCATAGCCCCTTCTTCTCATCTCGTCCCCTCTCTCTTGAACCCTAGTAACTCGTTTGATTAACGTGCTCCCTCTTTAAGCCCCTTCTTCTCATCTCGTCCCCTCTCTTTTGAATTGATTTTCCCTCTCTCTTTAAGCCTTTCTTCTCATCTGTATATTTCTTTTAAGCCTGTTTATCTTTAAGCCCTTTTCCTCTCATCTCCCTATCTCTTTAAGCCTTCTTCTTATATGTATATTTCTTTTAAGCCCCTTTATCTTTAAGCCCTTTCCTCTCATCTCCCTCTCTCTTTAAGCCCTTCTTCTCATCTGTATATTTTTTGTAAGCCTTTTTATTTTTAAGCCCCTTCTTCTTATCTCCCTCTCTCTTTAAGCCCTTCTTCTCATTTGTATATTGTTTTTAAGCCCTTTTATCTTTATGCCCCTTCCTCTCATTTGGATTTTTTCTTTTTTGTAAGCCCCTTACTCTCCCATCTATACTTTTTCTATACTCTCTCCTTAGCATATCTAATCAATGAGAAATATCCATTCTCTTTAGCATATCTAATCAGAAATTAGACATCATAATTATAACAAAAAATTTCCCCCAACATAAGAAATTATACAACATAATTATAATAAAAAATTTCATCCAATATAATTCTCATAAGAGAATAGTATAAGCTCAATTGAAATAAAATACCTCTTTAATTCCTTCAATACCTCAAAATTTTCTACTACAGTTACCAAACCTTCTAGCTTACTAATCAAACTTCTTCCCATTGTTTAACTTGTACCATAAAGATTTTTTATTTGGTATCATAAACTTATTGCTTATTTGAAATTATACAGATAGACATTTGAAAGACTTCTATGAAAAAAAAATAAAAATAAGGCTTATCACAATTAAAACATGTTATTCCAATCATATTATTCCAAAGACTTATCATGTTGAAATCAAAGTCTAATCATGTTAGAAGACATATGATTCCATGTAAGTGCCCAAGACTTTAATTATTAGAAAATCTTTTTAGAATGGTGATGATGTTATTATTATAAATTTTTTTTGGAATGATGTGATGATGACTTTAATTCCGCATTTCTATGGAATTTTGTAACAAAAAAAAAAGAAGGAAGAAATGATAGTTTATAGGCAAGTGCTGACAAAATGTTTGTAATGCATTTCCCATATTTCTTTCAGACATAACCAAACAATAGCCATATATGTCCTTGGTTGCAGCTAAATACTACTCCGACAATAACAATCCACTTGCAGGTAATGTATTATGTAGTAATATATTGTCAGTAAAAGACAATATATTTCCAGATATCAAAGGGTCCCTAATAGTAAATGACTCACAATATACAACCCCATTAGGTACTCAAGGTCTTCTTTTTATTTTGGTTTTGAAAAATACTTACCTGGTGATTTTAGTGGATCCCAAAGTTTAAAGAGCATAATTTAAGGACGTGTCTTACTAAACCTAGCCAACAACCTAGAAACACTTAAATATGCAATATAAAATTACAAAATTACACACTCCTAATATTATAAACACAAAGAGTTCAAAATTTAGTGGTCATGGTGCTTAGGTACTCGAAATCATATATTTTTTAAAAAAAACTATACAAATATTATAAACACAAAGAGTTCAAAATATAGTGGTCATAGTGCTTAGGTACTCGAAATCATATATTTTTTAAAAAAACCATACAAGGAGACAATTTGCTTTTAGTACAAAGAGATGACAACCACTCTTGTTGAAAACTAGAAATAATAGTTATATTAAGAAAACATTTGAATTATTAGTTACACTTGTTTTTAGATGGATCGCCTATTTGCATCCATCTTTAAGATGAATGCTTTATATCTTTGGATCCCATATTGTAGAAATGCAATTCAGCCCCCGTGAAACAATTTCCCCTAAGGCCAGGTAGTTGTAAGAGTGTCGTTGACTAGATTTTTTATTGAAAAAAAAATTCTTGAACAACCTTACACACCCCAAACTATTTAATTTGATGTTTAATAACTTGGAGTAATTGTGATCTCCTTTTAACGAGTATAACAACAGTCTCGTGATGTACAATCCTTTTATTTTAGCTCTTGCAACTTCTCACTTGGTTAGTAGACCTAATATTATTTAAGAGCTAAAAATTGATCCTGAAAAGATCACCAGCACGAGGGAGTATATGCAAGTTTTGCTTCCGCGAGATCATATTGTATGAGCACAATTTGATTGATCCATCATATGAAGGCCGTAGATTGCCTCTCACTTTGAAGCACCGTTGATTGATCCATCATACGGTTGTGAAGCCTACGTACTGCAGATTTTCTATGCCCAATAGTCACATCTCACATGAATCGCAACGTAGTGTAGCTATTCAAAAACTGCTAATTTTCCATGCCTGAGCTAGGGTTTCATTCTGCTACTTCAGCCACTGTCTTCTTTGTCTACCCGAATGTATTCTCAATCTTCAACAAGCGAGAGGAATTTTATCTGAGCATTTCTGCAAAACCCAAAAGATTTCCTCTATAAAAAATCATTCTTCTCCCATTATTTGAAGAACCGGTGATTTTGGAGTTGTTTTCTAGAGAGAGAGAGAGCATGGTATTGGGAAGTTCTCCTATATGAGAGAATTTTCTTCCGTGCTACAATGGGTATTAAATTTTATTTTTTCTTTCTTTGAGAAAGAATTTCCGGGCCTAATATTGGCAATATGAGTTTTGTGGGGATTTTTTCTAGAGAGAGAATGCTCAAGCCTGTCATCAATGGCATGTGGGGAAAAGGAGTTCTACAAGGCTATAACAGCTTACCCATGTCATATTTTCTTACAAGAAAGTTCCATGATGGACAGGTACAATTTCTCTCTTTGCTGGGGAAATTTAACTCTGTTTTGGTATATTGATTTCTTGTTTCTTGAATACCCCAGGTTGAGAAATCCTATATTTCCCAATACACTCATGACATTTTAAACCATGCTTTCTCATTTATTTTTGAATTCCCTATGTTGAAGGTATCAATTTCAATTTTGTGAATTACAAGCTTTGCTTTGTATCACACGATGAAATGCCTGTTATGCTGCCCTGTTGCTCAACTTTTATCTATATAATTGAAGTATTAATCGTCAAAAACTTTGTGATGGAGAAGAAATGATTAGCAGTTGATAGCAGAGCGGATAAATTGATTGTCAATGTCCATCAAATTTGTTGCGAGCATTAGCTTGTTCCATATTCCTGATTATTCATTTATTCTTTCATGCTGCTATTGCCTTTTGAAACGGGGATTGCTGGAGTTCCTTTTCAATGTCATGCATTAGTTTATAGTGAAGTGGAATTGTTTGTTCTCTCTTTCTATCTCTCTATCTCTCTCTTCTCTCTTCTCTCTTCTCTCTTTGGATGTTTGAACTCCAATTCAAGGATTGACATTAGATGTTGCCCAGCCTAAGCTAAGAGGTTAATGGCTTAACCTCAATTGGTTCTCTTTCCTTTACTATTTAGTTGCTTAGCTTTCGTGCGTTCTCTGTTGAATGCAAGCCATTTGTAAAAGTTTGTCCACAAAAATGCTTGCTGATTAGTCAATTACCCATCTTAAACTTCCAAGTCAATTATTGTAGGTTTGTGCAGTTTATTCTTCCTTTATCAAGGATAACTAAAGTGAATGCTGATAAAGAATTATTGTCCTTAATCATTTGCTGTCTTTCTAAGTTGTTTGTACTTGGTATATAGCAAGAAAAGGATATACAATAGAACAAACCCTTAATGTAGAACACTGATATCTGCAAAAAATTAATACTCCTAGTAAAAATGATTTTTCCTCTACGTCACTATAGGGAAATACTTTTTATGGGTGCTAGAGTTGTTTTATGATATAACAAGGCTGAATTTAATAGAGATCTAGACCTCTAAGGATTAATGTCAAATTTTAAGGAATGCTATTTTAGCTTTATGTGAAATTTAATTTACGTAGATTAAAATGATAATAGCAGTAAACTCAGGGTGTAGTAGTCTCATAGGTTATTAGTAGGCAGTACTTTAAAACTTGGTGTGGTGACTTAGGACTTGTTCGTATCAACTCAGCTTGGGGCCTTAGCGAGCCCCATGGCAATATCACGTGAGTTGCCCTGTTCTTACAATTATTAGCCCCTTCATTTTTTTTTTTTGAAAAGACTCAGACGAGTCAATGACTTGGGTAGCAAGTCCCGATCTGAGTCAGTGTTCCGAAACATTGTTTTTGAGACATGATTTCAATCATGTGTGTTTTCTTGTTTTTGGACAATTGTTTGTCATGTTGATACTAAGTGTAAAATTATATTTGGCATTTCACTTTATACTTTTAGAATTCCAGACCTTTTCAGAAAGATATGATACGTGATTGAATAAGGTTTCCCTGATGGAGTTTTGATTGTTCCCCTGTCTTGTAATCCAATATCTTGGTGGTTGATAGAATGAAATTTGCATTTGGAGAACCATGGATTGGGAACTAGAAATAAAAATAAATTCATCTAGAGAACTATAAAATAGACAGAAGGCTATGAATCAATGATGAAATGAACTTGGGACTGAGAAAGCTGTGCCAAAGTAATTAGTCCTTGCAAAATGGATTTTGACAATAGGTAGTGCGCTCTTTGACTATGATACCTGATGTATGTTTTTAAACTATCATCAATGCTTAAACAACTGGCCTCACATACATCTGTTGTTTATTGACCGTTGTTAATGGGTTACAGTGCCCAAATACTAAATTTCTTGAGGGGCTGGCATAAACATCTGGTCGCACATATTTCTGTTGTTTTTGTCTTTGTGAATGGGTTACAGTTCCCAAATATTAGATCGTGTGACTGATTGCATGTACATGCCCTACTTCCTGATCCACAACCGACCTTCTCATAAACCTCCAATAGGATCTCTATACCTCCTAAGGTCCTAAATGGTGTGGAGGTAAAGCATTCAGGGATGGTTTCATGAATCATTTGGCTTTTTTTTCTGCATAAATAGGGGGCAAGATTTGTCCATGAACTGGGGAGGTATAATTATAAAAAGAAAGGGAAAATATCTCCATACCCTTTATTTTTATGTTTCATTTCGTAATAGACCCAAAGCTTTAAAACCTATCTTGGAACCCCCTAAACTAGCCTTATCTATTTTAAACCTTTTTTTAGCCCAAACAAACACGAGAAAGATATGTCTTTACTAAACCATTCTCTCTCTTCCACTAATATGCCCCAAACTTCTCTTTCTCTCTCTCCTCTGTGATTTCCCCAATCCGTTCTCTGTCCCCTGTGACTCCCCAAACCCCTTCTCTCTCTCTCCTTACTTTGTCCCCCACTCTCTCTCTCTTCGTGTTTCCCAATCCCTCTCTCTCCCTGTGTTTCCAAGCAAGCTTATCCTCACAGCTATCCTCCCGGCACTGATTGTTACCACTAATTTGCGTCTCGCTAAGCGATGGGAAATGAAATAGAGAGCTCCTTCCAAAATAGAGGTGCTAAAAACATGATTTTCCACTTGCTTTTCTCCACTGAAAAAGCCAGCATCATTGGTTTTGGGTTGAGGACCATCAAGGTGACAATCAAGCACTCTCCCATTGCTGATAGCATCATACTCAGAAGCTAATATAGTCGATTCGAATTTTAGTTTAGTAGAACCTGTCTATTCTGGCAATCCAACAAGTTCATTGTCATTAATCATTAGTGTCATCAATCTTATTAGAGGCCTTTCTCTCAATGGAAAGATCATGTCTAGTACCTTGATGCACCCTCACCAGTCTGTCTTTAGATGAGTTATGCCAATGATTTTTCCTCTGGATATATCTTCCAGAACAGCCTCTTCTTCGGCATCAGGCGCAACAAAAGCCGATGGATCAATTGGCTCAGTCTGAGTAATCTCTGGAACTTCAATAGAAGTTTCCCTTTCCTATACATGTCAAGCAGTTTACCTCTGGGATAACAAAAGGTCAGCTGATAAAACACTTTCCATTCCCAACATCACTCCTTTCTACAAGTGTGGCACCAATAGGATTTTGAAAGGGAAGACCCACTGTATTAAATGGTCATATTGAAGTTCATCTGCCCTCGACCAGGAAAAAAGCCTAGATTTGAAACTCTTTCTCCCCCAAAACCACGAGCAACATGGTTCACCATCGACCCTGCCTGATGAGCTTTGAAAGTGCCAGCTCAAGGGGTTTAGGGGAATACAAGAGAGAGAGAGATGTTGGGTAAACACGGGGAGAGAGAGGGGGGGGGAAGGTGGAGAGAGAGAGAGAGAGAGAGAGAAGGGGTGGGAGAGTGACGTGGGAGAGAAGCTTGGGGAAGTAAGGATGAGGTTTAGAAAGGGTGTCTTTCTCATATTTGTTTGGGTTAAAAATAAAGTAAAAGTAGGAAACGTTAGTCTACAGAGTTAAAAGAAATAAAACTTAAGATTTTTATGCTGAAAGATAGGTTTTGAAACTGTGAGTCTATTGAGAAATGAATACTAAAAATAGGGGGTATGAAGATATTTTTCCAAAAGAAAATGTTTATTTTTGAGGGGAAGTCCCTTAGAGTTTTTCATATATTCTCTCCTAGAAGGTTTTACAATGATATGCAATTTTATAAATGCTCCTCACAACCCAAAGGACAGGCTTATTTGTATTAGAACAGTTGCAATAGAGAAGGGGGTAGGGGCCTTGGCTGCTCAAGAATGAGAGTTCCTTTTCTTTGAAAAGGAAAGGGGATCTTGGTTGTTCAAGGAAGTGGGGCTTCTCCTTGGTGTGTTAGTAAAGGGTGCTGCTACTTCCACATTTGAGAATAATTTTCTAAAGCATTAGAGGACCCATGCTTTGACATTTGGGCACCTTCAATTCATTGCCCCTTGTTTAAATCCAAGTCGAGCCTAAGATATTTGGAGCTTGAGTTATAGTTTGCATGGCTCGTAATTATATATTCTTAGTTTTCACTTAAATTCTGTTTACCAGCAGATTTATATTATTTTAATGTTTCCAATTGTTATAAAACAAAGCATAACCATGGTGTGATTACTTTAAGATATACTTTTTGTGCTTATTCCTCAACATGTAATTCAATTGTGACCAACTAGTGCTTTTTAAATCTTTTCCCTCGTGTTCATGGGCAAGGGTTGCAACATCTGTCATCAGTGCTATTGACTTCGGACTATGTTAAACTGTAATCCGTTACATAAGAAGAAATGGGGGTGGAGATGAAGCAGCCCTCTGAGAATTCAAAGAAACAAACTCATGTGCTCGCTGATATTGAAAGGATGGTTGCAGCCATGGATCTGAAAAGCTGGTGACGAAGGCAGGGTCTCAAGGCAGAAGCATCTAATGGAGGTGTGGGGGCTGAAGATTGAGCCCAATGAATGGATCTATGATTAAATCTGATGTTGCGAGATGAACAATTCAAGCACTATTTGTGTGGCTTAAAATTTTCAGCTTTGATGAGGATCCAACGGAATGGAGCCAAGCCTTGCAATTCTTCAAATTCAATTTAACACCGGAGTCATAAAAAGTAATTCTCACTCTTTTTCACTTAGATAAAGAGGGGATCAGATGGCATCGATAGCTTAGGAAGATTCAAGATGTGCTATTGTAGATGGTGGATTCCCTCAATTTGACATAGATGATAGTTACCAAAACCTCTCACCCAAGGTTGCGATTCCAATTCGGGACTCATTTATGTGATTCCGACCAGGAATAATGATGGGATCTATTTTTGTTAAGTTAGAATCTCGATTCCTTATTTTAGGAATCTCTATTCCAACACTTATAGAATCTTGTTTTCAATATTTATTGATTCACAATTCCAATCCATTGCGATAGTTGCATGAACATAATTAAAAAGCTATGTTATCATATTGGAGTTGC